TTTTTTTTCCATTGTGAGGTCGTATCGATTTGTTTGCAATCAATGTACAAAGTCCATAAGCCTGATTCACTCTGAATGTTGTACAGTTATAGTGAAAACTGTATTTAGTGATATTTTTATTAGAATGAGTATTGTTGGAAGTATCTCATTCATTCCGTTACCGAAAAATAGTTGCCCCTACTATTTTAGACATTAAAAATACAATTAACATTTAAATTACTAATGAGTAGTTCGATGTAAATTAACAAATATTAGGTGGCAATTGTACTGGAGCTGGAGTTGTAATTTGACAGTACCACTAACGCGACGACAGATATTAAGGATCACATCATATAAAAGTTCCCTTGATTAATAAAAAGGTGGTTCGTAATCTATATTGGTTAGACAGCGCTACCAATAGGTTCATATTTCTGATAATACTTATTAATACAATTTTGGGACATATTATGATTTAAAATATTCTATGTTTATGGCCGACATCCGTATTTTAATTGTCGTTTACATTTCCCTTTGTGTATTCACTAATTAATACATTTATAGAATAGGGCTAAGCTTGAGATACTTTAAAATTCGCTGCGTGATTCTAAAATCACTTTCACCCAATCAGTAAGGACTCTACATAAATTAAAAATATTTCAAAACAGAAGTAATGAGACGTATTAGAGTTTAGTGGCTTTAGGAAGTTTACTTGTCTTTCAAGGTCTATTATCAGTTTTACGATCTTAACATTCTAGGAATATAGCTAAATAACCTCAGTAATCTGAGTGTTCATATGTATTTGCTAAAGGTCTTCCATGAATCTGTTACACAGTCATAAATAGTATTAAAGAAAATTCATTATCTGTTAAAATCATTATCACTAAATTATCTGAAGAGTCAAGGAAACGAAATTTCAGGGACACTATTTCAAAATGAAGAAATCTTCTTGATAAACCATCATCTATTTTAGCCCACCTACTTTATTAAATCACCTTTTATTTGGTGAACCACTCATAAAATGATTTTTTCGAGCTTGCTATTGAACTGGAGCAAAATTGATTGATTCTAATATTATGTAGAATTTTATATATATATATATATATATATATATATATATATATATATATATATATATATATATAGAGAGAGAGAGAGAGAGAGAGAGAGAGAGAGAGAACAGACAGACAGACAGAGTATTTAAAACATTTAACTTAGTCAGTTCCACTCTGTAAATCATAAAAAGATCTTCAAAAATAACCCTAAATGTATTGATGACTATACGCAAGCATATCTACCGCGCATCTCATGTAGTGAAAGATTAAATTCGATTCGTTCTGCATTTTGCAAAAATATGCTGAAGTAGTTTCCTTGATCCTGATCAGCTCATCCCTATATTACACTTTTATCCATTAATCTTATTGAAAAATTTCAATGAATACTCAATCTATTTCAAATTACTTAATTAACAACGGTATTAAGGAATTGCTCAAAATCCGTGACTATTTTAATAGCTTTGTTTTTTGAATTGCTGAAAGACCAAAATCGTTGTCTTTCGAAATACGCTCAAATAAATTTCATACAAACTCAAATAATGTAAATATTAACTCTTAAAAGCAAAGAAACGTTCTCCTAACTAGCTATCGACATTACATAACGTAAGACGAAATATTTTGTAATGGTTAATTATTCAAAAATAATGAATAGTCTAAACATAGATAATTGAAAAATATTGGTGCCGACAAGACATAAAGAGATCAATAGAATTATAGTGCAGGTAGGAAAGTTTAGGGTACTTCTTTGAGATTATTCTTATACTTCGCATGTTAATCAACCTGACAACAATTATTACTATTTTTGATAGTGCATAATTTCTAGAAGCTGGGATGATACAAGACACCATTTTAGCACACAGCTCAGATTCATTGACAAGTACACGACTTCTACGATTAATAAATTTATGTAGACGATTCATTCCAAACTCACTGATACATTGTAACAACTGACTGACACATAACGGGGACATTCTTGTACTAACCCCTTGTTGATCGATGCCATGCAAGCATTTTAGAATACTTAGCTGGTACTGAAGGAGGAGAGCTTTCTGGTACGAAGAAATACAATAATGCTATTCATTTGTCATAAATTAGTACAGAAAGGCTTAACTAGTTTGAACGCATACAAACCTGTTTATCGGTGAAGGTACCACTTTATGATGACAACTGATGGACTATCAAGTAGTCTTTCTCTACTCCACTGATTATTTATTTGGTACAAAATCGATATTTAGCCAATTTACTTCAATTCCTACTAATTATCCAAGTTTTTTAAATGGTGATATAGAAGTGTAATATGCGCACTAACAGATGTCCAGTTATCTTATTGAGGTCGTTTCAATTTTTCCCTTTTCCCAGGTTTTTAGGATATGAATCGAAATTGACCGAGTCAATATATTCAGTCTCGTAGAAGTTTTTGTATTATTCCCAATCGCCTCGAAAATCGCCCTCAAATGTCCTGGTACGGCCGAACGTGGAGAGTCCGCTCTCCAAGGGAAGTTCTATCCACTGACTTCTCGTGGTGAAGGTGTTGCTTACTGAAGTGAGAAGACTAAAAGAGAATATCCGGGGCTTAAAGCGGGTTGGTGGTTACGAAGGACACAGCTAGTGGAGTTAGAAAATCCTGATTCTAAGCCATTTGTGCGCATGGGCTTCAGGATCCTGTGGGAAAAAATTTATGAACCCATTTTTTTGTCACCGGCTACCATGGAATCGCATCACCTGACGCAGCTATATGGATTAGACCTCTAGATCAAAGGTTGAGAGGGTAGCTCTTTAAAGATCCTACCTATTTCGGTTTGGGCAACAGGAGAGTGCCCTACCCCACTCACAAATCAAATGATCATCAAACTGGAAAATTTACTCTCGCTTCAGTTCGCATCCTCACAACTTGTCTACAATTATTCATTAACACTCACATTGACTTTATTCTGTATCACTTGCCTATTCCCACTTTGGGCATCCCTTTATTTCTCAACCCAAACAACAGCTCACCAGTGGTGGAAATTCTGTTCGATCTAAACGATCTCAAGTCACTAAATGGTTGAAAGTTGAGTTCTACTGCTGAATATGAATTGTGAACCAGCTTTTCTATAACTACGTGCCGTTCTAGCTGGTCTCTTTCAGTGTCCGCACACTAACGCAGATGGGACAATAGATAGGGTTGACCATTTCTTTCAAGTCTTAACATCGACGTCTGTTGTCTATCCCAAATCCACACTCAAGAATTTAGTAAAAAACTGGAAATTCGCTCCCCATCCTTCGCTTCGAAAAGCTTATTCCGCGTGCATTCATCCGAGGACCTTGTGGCATCATCTTGTTTTGCCGGTGTTGGTGCCGCACTAGGGTTGAGGCGACGTGTATCGACTGGGGTCCTTATTAACGGTCAACCAAAAAATACCACCAACGCGAGAAATCGGTGCGAGGAGCAATGTCTGTTCGTAATATCTGACTACACCCCGACAGATTGTAACCCGGATACAATGAAGGACGAGTCTTACCATCAGTTAGGCGATCTCAAGAAAGTGTGTTTGGTGGATATCGTAGTACTAGAGGGAGAATGGCGCATGTCTGGCATCTAGGCACAGAAGAGTCACCTGAGCGGCTTTTGGAGGCATTTGGTTTCAGGTCAGATAACTGTGACCGTCTACCGTAACTTCGCGTACTACAACCTGTTTCTGGTTACCACTAACTGTCGGCATACTCATCGCCAATGCGGAAATAGGTTATGGTAGTGTGGACCTAGTACCTGGGGAAATACTTCGACCGCGAATATGCAGATGATATTGTCTTGCTGTGCGATGATACTCAAGTCATACAATCCACATTTAATCAATTGGCAATCAGTGTCCCTAGGCACGATATTTGTTCTGGATTTCCCAAGTCCAAAGTACTTTTGCAAGACTTGTAGGACCGTAGACCTGCACCTACTCTTCGTAGTGAGCAGTTAAGGTAGTCGAAAAATTCGTATACCTCATTTTCTTATAGTGTAGTGCATATATTTTGACGGCCCTTAATACCAACATGTATTTATATAAATAATTTTCAATTATCATTCTATTAGTAATTTGTTGTCTGTTTAAACAATCGACTATTGCTAAAACCCAACAGAATGTCTTAATAGAAAAGTCTAAACAATCTAGACGTTATATAGCATATTTAATCTTCTATTCATTGATAATGTAGCCAAAACAAATTAACTTGAAAGAGGAGAGTTTCTAATAGTAGTTAAATTGGTTGCAATTACAAGATCACAACCAACGTACCCGCATGAAATGCTAAATTTCTTTGAAAAGCTGATAAGAGAGCATATCCATATGGTAAGTTTTGCCATTAATTGATATCTAGCCTTCGAAAGCTTTTCTTACTGATGTCACCTTAATGTTTTCTGAGATGCACCGAGTGAACTTCTTGGAAATAAATTATTAAGAAGAGAACATACTTCGTCTCGCATACTCACTCAGTATCACATCTCCTACTCAAAAGTACGGTCAGGAAGTTTCAGAAAATCGCCCGAGTCATTTTCAATGAATCTTGAAGTGCTCGTTTCAGACACCACCAATTCTAAAACGACATATATTGAAAACGCGCTAGACGACTGAAAAGCTCCCTAAAATTTAACAGATCCAATATTTTTATAGTTATCGAGTTTTTGGGTTGGTAGTCTCCGAATATTTAACTGCCAAAATATACAGCATCAAAGGGACAGACTTAAGGAGTATCCTATCATGTTAGGAGTATTTTCTAATCCTTCACGTTATTATTTGAAAGTCAAATTGTCTTCCTTAGGCTTAAGCTCCAAGTTTGGCCAAAGAGCTTGACAGTATGCATAATTATCTCACAAAAGCCACATTATTCATCTGCAGCGTTTCACTTATTGAGTTTATTTTGATATCGCGATGTCTGTGAAACAAAATAAATTCAAGGGACAAGGAAATCTAACCACTGATGCTATCAATTAGACAAAAATACAACGTGGGAGATTGTATTTGATAATGTAATTTAAAACATATACATAGGCGAAGATCAGATATCACCTAAAATAATTATGAAGGGAATAAGTCACGACAGAAACAATGGAAAAGATATGGAACGAGAACTCAAAAAGCCTCGTCCCCTTCATATTTGTAATATAATACAAAAGCATGTGATTTCATCTGGTTCCATTAATGAACAGAAATACAAATCATAGACCTCCACGCAACGAAAGTACTAAATGTATTACTGAACCACCTTGCATTTTGTATTCCTGGACAAGTTTCTCATCATTCATTTGTTTACCGGAAAAAATCAATCGTTGTTGTTGTGGTGGTATGCCTTCTTTTTCTTCAATTCTTTCTTTGATTCGTTCAACTTTGTCAGTTTGTTCAATATCGATTTCAATTTCTTTGCCAGTTAACGTTTTCACTTTAATCAGCATACTGTAATATTGAAAAAAAACTTTAGGCACTAATACACAAATACGATAAATTTTTCAGACCTGGGAGAAGCTATAAATACTATAGAAATTTCAATAGTTGAAATCATGAGTCAATTGAAGCTAGACCACCATGGAAAACCTGGAAGCACTGGACGGCCGTTTCGTCCTAGTGTGGGACTCCTCAGTATCGCGCATCCACGATCCCGCCTCCCGAGACATTCGAACCCAGGACCAACCAGTCTCGCGCGCGAGCGCCTAACCATTAGACCACTGAGCCGGCATCTAACGGTGTTAATGTTTAACTTCAACCAATCCACGAAGTTGCGCCACCGTACACCATTGTCTTCAGTGAGTTGATATCTCAAAACAGACCTGGTTGAACTCCACTGGTAACGGCTTCTCACTAGAACTCCAGGAAATGACTCTTGAAGTCAGTCACCAGTGAGCAGATGATTATTATCAGAAGGGCTTTCGTGGAGATTTTTAGTAATTTCAATAGTTGAAATCATGAGTCCAGTGCTTCCAGGTTTTCCATGGTAGTCTAGCTTTAATTGACTCATGATTTCAACTATTGAAATTTCTAAAAATCTCCACAAAACCCCCTTCTGACTAGAAATTGCTTGGTAATCAGTGGCAAACTATTTTGCCACAGTTTATACATACTGACTGGGGAAAATTTTATCGAAAGGTATGATGTCGCACAAGATAATTGCGCAGATTATTAAAAATGAATATTATATCCTGTAAAATTACGTGAAATGACTTGTTGCGAAAAGCCTTAAGTGCTGGACAAAGATGGCAATATTTAAGGAAATGACTTGAAATCATACAGTATGGACAAACAATGATAGCATGTAGAAACGAATAGATTCTATATGAAGACACAACTAGATAAATAATCCGACACAACTATAGGATGATGGTCACTGGCTCCTAATACAATTTGGGCTTTGTAACATTTCGGACGAACTAGATACATACCTTCCAGAGACTCCATTGAAGCTGTGAATAGGTTACTGGTGCTAACTGAGTACTACTATTGTTTATTTGACGTTAGGGTGTCGAAAATAGAGTCGGTTTTCTGAAAATTGCTTATTTGGCATTCGGAAAAAAACCACTTAGCATGAGACAAACAAATCTCAAAAATTTCCAAGCCGATACAATCCCCCGACTTTAAGGCTTTCCAATAACATGAAAATCGGTAGTTTTCCTTCGAGTCTGGAGAAAAAAACAACAAAATTTGAGGGGTTTTCCTCCAAAACAACCTCAAAATTTAAGGAAAGACTCCGGACAATGAGGTTTTGTGTGCTGGTAAACATTGGCAGAAATTTCCCTAATTTCAGTAGATGAGATATAGAGATCTGGGAATATGGGCTGATAAAATGACGTGACCGTTGTACGTCATCTATTGAACTCTGGAATCAGCAAGTTTAGTTGGAGGATAAAGTTAAACATTTGTACTATTAAAGATATTGCCAGAAAGCAATTGAATAGATAAATGGCAGAATAAAGCACACTTCATTTCATGTAACTTCACGAGAAATTAGGACTTTTCGACTTTACCTAACACACTGCCGATGACTGTGACGTACCACTTCAACAAACGCGCTCGACAGTCACTATATTCAATACCAATTATGAATAGATGAGCAACCTGTCATTGAGTCGATTCAATTTTTCAATTTTCATTACATTAAATGTTCCAAGTTCCAACAATCCTCAATACTTCTAATAGAATTTAGGTTAGTCAGACCAATCTTTCTTCTTCTAGTCTTCTTTAAAAATAATCACCGACAGAATCTTTCTTCGATCTTTGTTTGAGGTATCTTAAGTGGTTCTCACATGTGTAGGGGTTCGTTTCTACACATAAATCAGTCCTCATAAGTAAGTATTAGAGGTTGTTTCAGTTTCAGCTTGGGAAGGACAGGAGGCCTGATGGCCTGTGTTAGTCCTGAAAATGTTGGTCTCTCAGTTGATTCAACTTTATTTTGAAAGAGTCGACGGATGGAGCCTCAATCACGTGCTGAGGTAATGAATTCCACTCGTTGATGATTCGATGAGAAATTCCATAGTTAACTGACAAGTAATTTGTCCTGGGCTTGTGAACTTTTTTGGAGTGTCCTCGTAAATTCTCTGTTTTGGAAGACAAGAAAAATGAGGGCATATCGGGTGCAAATTTATCACTAAGCAATTTGAAAACTGTAATCAAGTCAACTCTAGTTCTACGATAAGACAACAGGAATAGGTTTGGCTTGGCCAGTCAGGCATCATACAGGAGCTTCGCTATTCCGGAAATCAGCTTAGTTGCCGTTCTCTGAACCTTTTCCAGAAGCTCACTGTCTTTTTTTAGGCAGGGGCTAGCCGCTTGTATGCAGAACTCAAGTTTAGGACGAATGAACACTGTATACAAAGTCAAAAACGTTTTAGCATCGACATGACTAAAAACCCTACGTATTGACCATAAAGTTTTAAAACCTTTGGTGGCTATTGCACAGCAGTGTGCAGTAGTCTTTAGGTCTTGGCTAACGATGACTCCTAAGACATTATATGTCTGGACGACAGATATCTTAGTGTTATCCATCGTGTATGTATCTGTACCTTGATGACCGATATGCAACACAACACACTTGGAAGTATTTATCGGCAACTGCCAGGTTTGAGGCCATTCGGATAATTTCTTCAGGTCATTTTGGAGTTCTAAGCTATCACCCTCTCATCGTATCGTTCTCCATATCTTGACATCGTCAGCATATAGCAAGACCGATGATGATAGGAGACAAGGAAGGTCATTTAAATACAAGAGGAATAGCACTGGCCCCAAAACTGTACCCTAGGGCACTCCACTAAGCACAGTTACCCAGCTAGATAACTTTGAGTTCACCTGAACCCTTTGTTGACACCCAACTAGGAAGTCTTTTATCCACATCAATAAATTGCTTCCAATCCCGACATTTCTTAGCTTATATAACAGCCGGTTGTGCGGAATCTGATCAAAAGCTCTGCTGAAATCAACGAAGGCTACGTCTACAGGTAACTTTTGGTCCTTAAGAGCGCACCAGCTTTCACGAGCCACTAATAAGTTAGTGAGACAAGAGTACCTATTCTGAAACCGTGCTGCTTCTCCGAAAGGATCCGGTTTTTATCGAGATACTTAAACAGCTCCTTCCGAATAATCTTTTCTAAGATTTTAACAACCACACTAGTTAGGCTAACGGAGCGGTAATTCTCAGGTTTGTGTTTCGTACCTGTTTTGAAGACAGGACTTACTATGGCGTTGTTCCAGTCTTTTGGTAAACGACCCTGCGTAACGGATAGGTTAAAGCATATACTTAAAGGGTTCGCAATGAAGTTAGATAATTCCTTCAGTAGGCTAGGATGTAATTCATCGGGCCCCGTGGATTTACCTATGTCAAGCTTATTTAGCAGACCAAAGACATCGAGTTCTTTAATGGTCACTCTATCCAGTGTATGTATGGGAGATCTGTATACACTGACGGGAAGGGCGCTTCTATGGTGTATACATTGCTTAAGTAGTTTGAGAACACTTGAGCCTTACCAAAGTAGTCCTCCACTAGTGACGCGGCAGTGCTGTCTACCCATAGAGCAGGAATATTTCCTCTTCTCTTTATCCTTTGGTTTATATAAGAATACAAGCGTTTAGGACATTCTGTGGATTCCTTAACAATCTTTTCCTCGTACAACTTTCTAGGCTTACGGAAGGTCGATGTACAGGTATTCCGAGCTTTTTCATACTGAGATTTTGTCTCATCGGTCCCCAGTAACCTAAATCTATCCCACACTTTTCTTCTCTTACGGAGAAGGATGCGGACCTCCCTACTGAACCATGGTGGGGAGTTTCTCGGCCCCCTTGGTATAGTCCAAGGGATGTGAGGTGTGGTAACTTTTAAGTATGAATTTCGAAATGCGTCACAGGCCGTTTCAACTGAAGACTCTGGGTCTATTGTCCAATCTACTAACGATGCTGAGTGCATGATGTCTGGTATGTTTGCCTTCCAGACGTTGGGTCTGGACTGAACTGACGCGTGCTCGTGACTGGCAGTTATATGGAAGTCGAAAGTTAAAACTGCGTGATCACTTTTACCTAGGGGTGGCATATGATGGAGGTTCGCAACATCATCCTCACAGTGAGTCAGTATAAGACCTAATAAGGATGATTCAGTGTCCGGATCGTACCTTGTCGCTTCTTTCACATGTTGCACTAGAGTACATGTGATAACCCCATCAACTAGTTCCTGCTCGAAAGAATTCTCCGACGATTTAGTTCGCAGATTTTCCCAGTCTACCATAGGTGCATTAAAGTCCCCTACGATTAGACATCGACCACTTTGTGACCAAGTACTGAGACGGCTTAACAGGACTTCATTTACCTCACAGCTTGGACTGCGATAGACCAAACCAATCAGCAGCTATTGTCCCTTGCATTTCAAGCGGAGACTAACTAATTCACACGTCCCACTATCATGGGATACACTGTCGATGATGACAAATGGGATAGCATCCCTAATGAATAGGGCTACTCCCCCTCTAAGCTTTTGTATTCTGTCGGCCCTTACTAACATAAAGCCCTCGAAATCAAGTTCCATACTATCTATAGCCTGCGTCAGCCACGTTTCTGTAACCGCGATTATGTCTGGCTTTGTAGAGTCAATCTGTACACCTAGTTCCGATCGCTTATTAAGTAAGCTTCGTGCATTGGTGTAACAGATCCGAAGCCTGTTTAAGTGCCTTCGTGCTTCACCCAGAGTGACTTCGGCATCATTCTCTATCGAAGCCTTACAACCTGAAAATTTACAATTTTTAGGTCCTTTTCGCCAGCGTCTAACCTAAGTTGTAGTTCTTTTTCGGCTTCCCGTCTTTTAACACGGTCTGCCAACGGTAAGTCCTTTTGTATAAAGACACCTGAACCCTTTAATTCGTGTCCATTCTGTAAACTTAGGTCACGTTCGTTCGAAGAGTTGAATACTACTTTAAGCAGTCTGGAATGGTTTGGTTTCAAGTCCGCTAGACTCCCCAGTCTGTACACCTTTAGCAAGGTGACTCCGGTGATATTTTGAGGCATGAGTTGATTAAGCAGCTGATTAATCAGCACAATGTCATGCTCAAAACGAGCTTAAGGTTCAGAGCTCTCGCTTACCTTGATTCTATGAAAAATAGCTGATCTGTCGCTATGATCAGCTTTCGATTTTACGACTACTTTCTCTGGGGTAGGATTACCTTTTATATCGCTACATTTTTTCTTCCTTACAACCTGTACCCAATCGTCAACGGTGCTGGGGGAAGCAACAACAGTTGCGTCAAACCCAGTGTTGGATTCTGGAGGGTCGTCGACGACCTGAGAGGTCAGGTTATGTTTACCGCTTGAAACCGATCGGGCCTAGCGATTGCGGCTTCTAGGCGTTTCCTGTGGGATCCCATCTGGGAGACGGGGAACAGAAGAACCTCCTTTCCTTGAGCCTTTGTTTAAGGCAGGCTCCTTTGGAGACTGCTTTTCATTCTTTGACCGGCGTGAGTCATCTACTATCGAACTAATCTTATTTTGCTTGATGTTGATTTGTGTGCCGACAAATCGAGTGCTGTTTGACGTGTTTCAACTACGCTTGCTAACACATTTCTTTGCAGCATCAACCAGTGAGATGGCCTCGGTTAACAGGCTGTTTGCATCCGAACAGCACTGTTGACAAAGCCATACGCAACCCTTTTTACTGAACCGTTTGAAAGCCGCAGGCGTCAAGTTCGTACAAACTTCGTGGTACCTGCTTTTGCACCCGTCGCACTGAGTGCCTCTTTCAACGGGATAACGACAACCCGGATGTTGGCAACTGCTTTTTTTACACTGTCCGGTGATTTAAAAGGATTTCTTTTTATCAAAAAGGAACAAAATGCGATGATACTCAGAAACAAAAAAATAGTCAATGGCCAAAAAGTGAAGAACTGTTGATTGGTTGGACCAAAAAGTACTAACAGGTACAATTGAAAAAGAGGTACTCAAGAGTACCAACGACAAAACTAATTGAGAACGGTAAAAACGGTACTCTAGTCGAATACTTTGACTGAAATGAATTCAACTAAAGTGAAAACAGAAGTCTTCATGCGTAATAAACGATCAAAACAATGAAATTTACTCAGCGAGGAAAGATACCACTGTCCTTTTTAAATAGCGCGCGTACATTGTTTAGGAAAATCACAAAGTGAAGGGTGGTGAAGATGTCACAAGTATTCAGTGTTTGACAACGCTTTAACCAGTAACACCGAATATAACTCGTTCCCACCAAGAGAAATCAAAAGACAGAATCGAGGAGATTGGGAGATATATTTGATGACTATCAATATATCGAGAATCGTCTGATCTAATCTGGCTAGCGATTGCAGGGGATGTTGAGCACGGCATTCCCACTGGTGATCCGGTGCGGATGCATGACCGAGCGCCTTCAGCTAGGTGAGTCCATCAAAACATGTGGTCAGCATCCAATGTCGAAAACTTACAGAGCTATTTATATTGGGGATTTATTTACCGCTACAGTGGTACACTTTGATCGAAGTATTTCAGTGTGCCAGCATGAAATCGTTTGATGTAAAGTCACATTACCTTCGGAATGACCTTACCTGATAAGGCATTTCCAAGATGCTGTAGCCATACAATGCTCTTA